TGTCCAAGCGTCGGAGTTCCACTCCCGGCTGGATTGATGCCAGCTATCTTCACTGTAAGCGGGGACCTGGGAAGCGCGAGCTCTTCCTTCGGCCCTTTTGCAGTCTCGGCATCGATGCTGTTGGTGGAAGCTGTTGGACCTGTCGGGGAAGGTGGCCTGGCAAAAAGCGTTTTCGCAGACACCGCATTGGCGCCTGCACGCCCAAANNAGCGACGGGTTGCCCGAAGCGTCATTGATGACTGACCCCACTCTGGAAGCAGGAGCATCAGCGGCCAAAAGCGGGGCACGATTGGGTTCTCCTCCAGCGCCTTGTGGTTCCTCAGTGGCTGTCGACTGGGAAGTGGGCGCAAGAGTCGTGCCCGAAGCTTGAGGCTGAGGAGCTGGGGCCGTGTCGTCATCATCAATGACCAAAGGAGGGGGAGGAGCCTTCTCCTTGGCAGCCCCTTTTTTGGGCGGGCCGGAAACTTGGGAGGCCGAAGCTGGTGCTGGCGCCCCCGGTGGCTNNGGCTGCTTCTGTGGAGGCTGCTCTGCCTTCTTTGCCGTGGCAGTGCCTGGGGGCTGATTGCTGCCAGTGGCCTTAGCGGGCAGCTGCGCGGGCGGGGAGGTGGCTTGTTTGGGAGGCGCAGGTGCCGCTAAAGTGGGTTGCCCATAGTCCTCCTGTGCCACCGAGTCCTGGAACTCTGGCGGGGTCTGACTTGGGCTCGCCACCGGAGCCGGAGGTGCCGTCGAAGCGGAGGAGCTAGCCTTGGCAGCTGGTGGGTGCCGGTTTGCGCTACCCTCCAAAAGCGTCAAGAACTTCTCCTGCTCAGCGCTCGGGATTGTCTGCAAAAGCTTGTGGACATAGTCAGCACTGAAGGGTCCGCGCGGCATGTTGGCAGCGAAGCTTAGGAATTTTCAAAAGCGGGATCTCGGGCACTGGTCAACAGAATGCAGACCAAATCGTCAAGCGAGACAAGCATCCTACCCTTGTATAGAGCATGACATGAAGCAACACGCGACCCCTTTAGGCTCCCTCCTATGCCGATGCGATCACACAGGCCCTGCGTCTGCACAAGCGGGCTGTAGCTGGTAAGACGGAAGCTGGGGTGAAATCGGAGAAACAGCCACATGCAGGTTGGCATCTAAAAGTGCAGTCGGCTGAGAGACAGGCGAGACACATCACGCGTGTGCCCGGGTGGAAAATGCAAAAGTGTGCAATCCCTGAACCACTTATCAAAAAGCGGACCGACGCACAAGACGAAACTAATGCAGCCTCACGACTCACAGTCGAGGACTGGGGAGCTGGCACCACATCACCATCTGGCTTCCAAGCCGGGGCACCTTGAGCGGATAAATCCTCACTGCCATACGACTCAGGGGAAGGCCCAGGTTCGCCGTCCGAGTCCTCGAAGTGAGGTGCCCTGCGAAGCGGCTTGGGGCGCTCTTGTGTCGCATCCACCGAAGTAAGCGAGCCACAGGCAGAGACATCCGTGATGTTGTTCTTCCCCTGAGCCTGCCAAGCTAGAAAAGACTGAGCATCCGAGTTCAGCGCGAAGCAGTGCAGAGTCGAGGAGCGGGATGTCCAGGAGAAACCTGACAAAGCGGGATATGCTTCCTGAAGTGGGGCTTGACCACCTCTGTGTTGGGGAAGCATTGGAGAAAAGCCTTTGTGTATTGCTGCCCATACAGCCAGCTGGGCTCGTAGAGCGGGCCATATATCATCCCTGCTATAAAGTTGCATGCTGCCCGCAAGGGCATGATGCCCTTGGAGAGTCCTGGCAGAAAGCGGGAGATCCAGCTGAGCCATCCATGAGAGCATAGTAACCTTCAGGCTGTGAAGTGTGTAACAGCTGGCCTGCTCCTTTGTAAGGCCTGACTCCTGAAGAAAGTTGCGCAAGCGAAGCAGGGTCTGTGCGTAGGATGCTGGACTAAAGCCTGCTTTGCCTGTCGTGAAGAAAAAGCAGTCAGGCACTACCTTGTCACCAAAGCGGATGCGCAAATCCTGCCAAACAGCATCCAAGCGGAGGATCCATGCCCCCAACCAGTTAGATCCGAAAGCTTGAGACGAAGAGTGGGTACCAAAGCCGAGGCTTGCGAAGGGGGCCCCACGTCTCGTGGTCTTGGTACGGTAACATATGCCCCGAAGTGTGAACTCACTGACGCAAAGCGAGCTCCAGCTGACGTGCTGCGCATCTGAAAAGCGCAAGCTGGCGCCTACGCAGGCCAGGAAACTGCCCGCCCAGACCGCCTCATCAAGCGGGGTGTCTCCGCAGAGCACTTTCCGCTCCAAAAAAGCGTGGAACGACAAAGGAAGCGGTAGACTCTCTCTCTTCTCCCCGGATATTGGCTGTATCAGAGAAGCGAAAGCGGGGCTGTAGAGGTCCGGGAATGGCGTGAGATCAAGCAGCTTGCGGTACCATCTCAGGGCCTTCATCACGTTCTGTGAGTTGGAAAGTGGACCTTCTTCTGGACAGCGGGACAACGAAAAGAATGCATCCAGACAGAGTCCTGCATCGATAAAGCGAAGGTCCCCTCCAAGCTCCTCAAAGGTGGTGAAGAAAATCTGCACTGATCTGAGATAGCGGGCAGCTGTAGTGTCGCTTACCTTGACCAAAAGCTTACTCCGAAGGGCATCGCCGTGGCTGCTGGAAGCTATCTGTTGAAGTACCGGGCTGATTTGCGAGTGCATCTCACAAAGCTGAGTAAACAGCAACCGGTTGCGCTCTGCCACCTCGGAATGATTGTCGAGTGAGCGGACAAAGCTGGCCTCCTTGGTTGCACAGCGGGGTGCCCTGAAAGGTGCAACCTTAGTCGAGCGGACTGCCGGAGGCTCGACCTGGGTGGGGGCTGGAGAGGGCGTGGGACACTGCAGGGATGCCTCTATGGACCCCACCGAAAGCTGACTAGGATACTTGGCGTAGTTGCTGGATTTCAAGAAAGCTGGCATCGGCAAAGCTTCAGTCCTCCATGTGGCACATTCCCGCTGTTGTGGCGGGAGAGGCTCCCAGGGTGCCTGCGGCCTAAATCGGGGTGCAGAAAGTGTAGGCCTAGCCGCTGGTTTGGGCTGTGCGGCATCCACCTGGAAAGGGGAGTTGAAGCGTAGGCATACCTGGGGCCGCTGCCAACCTTTGGGCTTAGGTGTTGGACGCAGTCTGTTCGGCGCGGAAAGCAAATTGGTATCCGGGGCCGCTGCAAAAAGCCTAGTCGGCAGAAGACAGGCCTCAGTATCCGAACCTGAGTCAACTTCAATTTGAGGGACGTCCTGCGGTACCACAAGCTGCCAGGAACTGGTAGCTCCTGAAGAGCCCGGTGAGTCCTCCATGGGCAGCAAAGCGGGAGCTGGTACCTCGCCTGGGGGATTCTGCCATCGTCGGCGATGTTTGGCAGGCTGGGCCCCTGTGTCTATACTGGAAGCCGGAGACCGCTCACGTGGCGGTTCGCTGACTTCGCTTCTGAAAAATGGGTCCAGCTCCTGATAGGGATCGCCCTCTAGGTGCCCGTCTTCAGAAGCTGACATCAGAACCAGATCTGTAAGCGGGCGACCGTCTCGCCCAGAGTGTCTTTAAAAATGGAGATCAAAGATCGAATGCGGACGATAAGCCGCTGAGTTTTCTCTTCCAAAGCGGAAAGCCTGTCAGCCAGGAACAGTAACCAGTTGTGCCCCCGCTGCAATTCCGCTTCCAAGCGGCTGATTCTCCCGTGTAAGCGGGAAATTTCCACTCTCTGGGCTGCGGACTCTGCCTGCAAGTCTAAGAGTCTCTCCAAGAGGTCCCAGTCCAAATTGGAAAGCGAAGCAAGCGCAATAGCCATGCAATGCGAAGGCTGGTGAGCTAATCCTTAAAGCTGCTGAAACAGTAGT